TACATTTCATTATTTGCAATTTTTGCACAGATAACACTGCTATAGTTGTGAGGAATTCAGGAATTCATGAGTATAGAAGTGTTATCTGTGCAAAAATTGCAAATAATGAAATGTATGTGACCTTTCTTTTTTTATTGAAGATTTTAAAGGGGGAACATTAAGGGGATGTCAATCATTGACTACATATAAGATAAAAAGAAATAAGTAGGTAGAGGTATGGGTAGGGTAGGAGGGGAAGTGGGAGGTAAAAGGGATTGGGAAATGTGCAAGGGTGGAGGTGGGGAGGTGAGCGGGGGGTGAGGGTTAGAGAGGAGCAATATTGGTGGTATAAGTCTACTGATTGGGGTCCATTGTTCTGGTTAGTATATATGCCAAATAGGATTTCCTGCGCGGGCTTCTTCTTTTACTTTCTTAGTTAATATTTAGATAGGTTTTGACTGGAGACCAGTCTGATTTGTTTTTCGTCCTTGTTTGCATACTTTTCAAGTATTCTGTTAAACTGTCCATATTCATTATATCTAATAGTTTATGTGTCCATTCATCCGTCGTTGGGGTTTCTTTCTTTTTCCAAGTTTTGGCCACCACAATCCTCGCTGCCGTCATCATGTGGAAAAGGAGTCTGTCTTTGTTTTCATCCAACTCGAAATCGAAAATCCCGAGGAGAAAGTATTCTGCTTTCATCTCTTTGTTTATGTTCAATATGTTGTTTGTTAGATCATGAATCTCCTTCCAGAATCTTTTGATTTTTTCGCAGGACCACCAACAATGGAAAAATGTTCCCTTCTTTTTCTGGCATTTCCAGCAAAGTCCTGAGACGTTTTTGTACCATTTTGTTAATTTGCTGGGGGTAATATACCAGCGGTACATCATCTTTAGCCAGTTTTCCCGCAGGTCGTATGAACTTATCCACTTTAGCTTTTTGTTCCAGATCTCTTCCCAATCTCTTAATCTAACTGTATAACCTATGTTTCTTGACCATTTCACAAGGCAGTTTTTATTTTGATGCTTCTCCAGCTTCCATTCCAATAGTGTCCTATAGATTTTGGTTATCCCTTTTCTCTCTAATCGCATGATCTTGTCCCATTGTTTTTCTCCCGGCTCAAACCCCACTTTTTTGTCCATATTGAAAGCTTCTATCAGTTGTCTGTGTTGGAACCATGTGATTTCGCCATATGTAAGTCTTATTTCTTCTAGAGTCTTAATTTTGTATTCTTCTCTACTTTTTGTTAAGATATCCTTGTAGCGGGGCCAGTTCTCCCAGCCTAATTCCCTCCTTTGTGTTGCCTCAAGTGGCGATACCCAGAGAGGGGTTTTTGGATGGAATTTCGTTTTATACTTTTCCCATATTTTAATCAGGGAGGACCGAATGAAGTGGTTGCCGAAGTTTTTTTCAATCGACCTTTTTGCATACCACATGTATGCATGCCAGCCACGTAGCAAGTCGTGGCCTTCCAAAGTCAAGTCTTTTATCTTGTTTATATTGGACCATTCTCTTGCCCACAATAGACCACATGCATCGTGGTAGAGTTGGAGGTCCGGTAAACCCAGCCCTCCTTTTTCTTTCCTTTCAATTAAGAATTCATATTTAATTCTTGGTTTCTTCCCGGCCCATATGAACTTTTTAATTTCCGTGTTCCATTTCTTGATTATTTGAATATTTCTTATTATAGGGATGGTTTGAAAAAGGAAGAGGAGTTTAGGCAATACCACCATTTTAATGGCAGATATTCTTCCTAGTAGTGATAATTTTAGACTCTTCCATTTTGTTATCTCTTTATTTATCTCACTCCATTTCGTTTCGTAGTTATTTTTCATCAGATGTAGGTTTTTGGCTGTTATAGTTATCCCCAGATATTTTATTTTCTTCACTACTTGGATGCCACTTTCCTCTTCCAGCTTGTTTTGTCTTTCTTTGGTTATATTTTTTGTTAGTATTTTTGTTTTGCTTTTGTTCAAATTGAAGCCCGCTAATGCTCCGAATTCTTCTATTTTCTTCATCCAATTTTGTATAGACTCTAATGGTTCCTCTATGACACACATAACATCGTCCGCAAACGCTCTTATCTTATAGGAGTGTTTCCGGATCTTAATTCCTCTGAGCTCTTTGTCGTTTCTAATTTCATTAAGTAAAATTTCCAATGTCATTATGAAAATTAGCGGGGAAAGTGGACACCCTTGACGCATTCCTTTCTGGATTTGTATTTTTTCAGCTGTTTGTCCATTTATGCATATGTTGGCTTCTTGTTCTTTGTAAATCGTCTTAACCGCATTTATAAAATGGTAACCCATGTCTAGTTCTTGCATTACCACCAGAAAAAATTCCCAGTTAACTTTATCAAAAGCCTTCTCCGCGTCAATTGCCAGAAGGGCACATTCTTTGTCAATATTTTTTTCATAGTACTCTATTACGTTGATGATATTTCTGACGTTGTCCCTAATTTGGCGGTTGGGCAGGAATCCTGATTGTTCTTCCCGAATCCAGTTCCTTAAGAATTGTTTTAATCTTTCTGCTAGCACGGCTGCATATATTTTGTAATCTACGTTTAATAACGAGATGGGGCGGTAATTCTTAACATCAGTACTGTCAGAGTTTTCTTTATGTATCATTATGATCGTAGCTTGTTTCCAGGTATTGGGGATTTTTTGCATTTCAAAGGCTTGGTTTATCAATTTCCTAATTTTTGGGGTCAGTTCTTTTTCATATGTTTTGTAAAAAGCTGCCAGGAATCCATCTGGGCCTGGCGATTTAGTGGCGTCCAGTATGGAAATGGCCGTTTTTATTTCATGGTCCGTAACTTCTTTATTTAGGTATTCTCTTTGCTCCTCAGTTATTTTCTGTAGCTTTTGTCTTCCTAAGTATTGCATAATTTCTTCTATTTGTGCCTGATCTTTCGAGTATAATTCTTTATAGAATTTGTTGAATTGACTTATTATTTCTTTGTCTTTGTTATATTCTGTATTATTTGATATGATTTTAGTGATAAATTGCTTTTGTTTCTTTTTCCCGATTCTTCTAGCCAGCCAAGGTCCAACCTTATTAGCATTTTGAAAGTAGTTCTGTTTCGCGTATTTAATTTTCTTTGCGAGCTGTTCCGTTTCTAGCTCAATCCTCTGTCTGTGGAGTATCTCCAGTTCTTTTTTGATCTTGTTGTCTCCAGAGT